GGTGTCACCACAGTACTGGTGGTGCTGCACTATCAGAGGAACTAATGAAGTGTATAACAATGGCTTTATTACTGACTCTTTCACATTTTCCTTTTCTCTACCTCAGGTAAACCCATCATAGACAACATTACAGATGCCATCTATGGAAGCAGGAAGACCATCTGTGTGATCAGTCGCAGATACCTTGAGAGTGAGTGGTGCTCCAGAGAGATCCAGGTGGCCAGGTAATGTGTCAGCTGACTAATCTGAGCTGAGATACATGAGAAATTGTCTCTATACGTATGAAGTGTGCATGTTATACATTAAGCTGTAGTTAATCCTTTATAAACAAAATGAATTATATCTACACACTTAGTTTACTCAAAGCTTAAAAATATCTCAGAAACTGTGTTGCAACAGTCTGAACACCGTAGTAATAAAACTGTAGCATCTTCATATAGAAACGACTAAGGTCAAGATCAAAGTGTTTATTTGTCATATCCACAGTTAGGAAACGTGCTTTTCTGTACAATGAAATTCTTACTTGGCCGTCCACATTAATGTCACACAGTACAAGTGAAATATAAAGTAGATGATCAATAATAAATCTAAATAGGCAGTAACACAAGTCTAAGTCACTTTAAAGCAGCAAGTGAAAGAAGCACAAAAAAAAAAATACAACAAGAACACAATATAACGCTGAGGGAATATATGCCATGTGGGAGCCATGGAGTGCAAATACTCAGCAGTGAGTGTGCAATTATGCATGTGCAAAATGAGTATGTAAACAATACAGATCGAATTACATGAGGTAGATCCTACGTCAGCTGTTTAGAAGTCTGATGGCAGTCGGAAAGAAAGAGTTTTTCAGTCTAGAGGTCCTACATTTCACACTTCTGAGCCTCCGACCGGAGGGTAGGGGTATGAACTGTCCATGCTGGGAGTGGGTGGGACCCTTGAGGATGGAGGCAGCTTTCCTACGCACCCTGCAGTGGTAAATGCTCTGCAGAGAGGGCAGTGGGGTCCTGGCGATCCTCTCCGCAGTCTTTACCACTCTCTGCAGGTGCTTCCAGTCCATAGCAATTGCTCCCATACCAGACAGTGATGCAGCTGGTCAAGATGCTCTCAGCGATGCAGCTGTAGAAGTTGCAAAGGATCCTAGGCGACATGTCAATCCTCCTCAGCCTCCTCAGGAAGTACAGTCAGCGTTGGGCCTTCTTGACCAGCTGTGTGGTGTTATGTGGAAAGAAGGAAAAACTCAAATAACTTCAAAACTTTTAATCACCGTCTTCAATTAAATGAAGTAATACATTCCTAAGACTGATTCCCGGGTTCATTCACGTATTGTGTCTTTATAAAGAGAGCTTACAGATCTAGGGGAACTAGTTGATAAGTGCATGTCCATGGCTGACAGACTGTATCAGATCCATCCATTTTCCATACCACTCAGTCCCAAACGGGGTCACGGAGCTGAGAGACTGAAACTTGAAAATATTAAGCTATGGAAAAGATATGATGATACTGAAAATCAGAGCAGAAAGGATAATCTCATCTTTCTCACAATTTGATTGTGAATGTGTGAGTTTTTCCTGGAAGCAGTGTGAACTCAATTCATATCAAAGCATCAAAAACAGAAGTAGAAAAGAAACATTCATTTTGGGGAAGCACTTGTCCTCAGCTATATTTGTTTCTCTATTTAGTTTCCGTCTGTTTGATGAGCAGAAAGACGTGCTGATTCTAGTGTTTCTGGAAGAGATCCCAACCGCTCTGTTGTCTCCTTACTACCGCATGAAGAAACTGCTGAAGAGGAAGACCTGCCTGAGTTGGCCTCGAGCCATACAGCACACCAACCTGTTCTGGGAGAAACTTCGCCAGGCTCTGAAGACCACAGAAGATGTTGGCAGGGACAGGTTTCCCCTCACTCTGCTGAACAGAGTATACCAAAATAGAAATACAGTCCTCTCAGTATGAGGTTTTTGGACCAGTTTAGTTCACTGGTTTGAGTCATTTGGGACTTTTTTTTGTTTGTTTTACCCAAAAAATGTCCATAGGCTCATGGAAAGAATATTGTACGAAAGAGTATTAGGGCCACTGCATAAATTTTTTTTTAAATTCTGACTTTATTCTCAGAATTCTGACTTTAAACTCAGAATTCTGACTTTATTCTTAGAATTCTGAGTTTAAAGTCAGAATTCTGAGAATAAAGTCAGAATTCTGAGTTGAAAGACAACTTTATTCTCAGAATCTGAGTTGAAAGTCAGAATTCTGAGAATAAAGTCAGAATTAAACAAAACATTTATGCAGTGGCCCTAATACTCTTCCGTAATATTGGCATTAATTTTTACTGCTGAAAATTATTGCTTTTTGAACATTTCACTTTCTGGCCTTTGCTCAATCTACACACATTTATCAGCTTACTAATCAGTTGTCATGTAAAATCAGCAGCCACAAACTGAACAGTTTCCATTCAACCAAATAGGAAGAACAAGTTATCAATTAAAATGAGTTTTCCCTTTTTGAAAGCCTAATGAGTATGTGCGCTGTCCCTGTGACTGGATATCATCAGATAACAACAGATGAACAGATCCTAACTGGACAACAGATAAGGACATATGCATATGGTGGCCCAAGAAGGAAAAAAAGGACTGAGAACCAATTGGTGCCATCAAAAATACTTCAGCTCATGCAGTTCCTGATGATTAAATCATCTCTGTCTGGGAGCCACTATCTACTGTACCAGTCGGGTCTGATAAAAGTGATAGATCTCTTTCATATTTATTTTTTGAACAGTCACTTGTAAAGTGTTAGAACCTGTTTTGAAACCAGGCACAATGTAAACCAATAAAATGGCTCTTTACAAGGGGCTTGTTATGTAACAATCATCCCTGCATTTCCAAAACCTGTTATATTTGTTGGTTCTTACTGACATGGTGCATTGCTGTGAGAAAGTATTTTCCAAGTTAGGAAAACCACAATTCTCTAAAATATCGAAGAAACAAAAGGAACAGTCCAGTTTACCAATTTGACTAAACTGAAATAACAATACATATAACAGTTTATCTCAAGGCTTTTTTTTGTTTTGTTTTTTTCAGCATCATCCTGTAACAAGAAATGACAAAAATAGCTTCAAAAACAGAAAAAAAAGAAATTCCACCCTGCTAGCTGCTTTCACTTCCTTAACTGACCCATGAAAATATAGGCAATTGGAACAGAACAGGTTATAAGCCTCCCAGCACAGCGAACACTTTTCTCGTGCACACAATAGAAAACATACAAGAAAGATTTTTTTCATCTCATATAAACAAAGGAAGATAATTCAACTACAAGAACCTGTGGATGTGACATCAGTGATCTATCTGCCCTTGTTTGTGAGTTAGTAAGTATTAGAAGTCTTTTTTGTTATATTGTCATATTGATAGGCACCTTGTTACCATTTCAATGTAAAATGTTGGCTGATTTAAAGCCTCAACCACTTGTAGTGAGGTTAAAAACTGTCTCAAATGTTATACTTCTTTTAGGTTTGGAAAATGAATATCCTGTATTTGTCTTTTGGTACTGTTTTTGATGGTTTTTATTTTTCTGTTTTATTGAACTTTCAGGATGACCTTGTGCAGGTTTATTCACCAGTTGGACTTTAGGTCAAGAAATTGCAAACCCTTGTTTTGAATTTTTTTGTTTTGTTTGTTTGTTTGTTTTTGCAATAGAAATTAAAACATGGATCCTGGAGCGAAAGAAGACAAAACAATGCAAGTGAGGAAAAGAAAACTTATCATTTTTCTCTACTTGCTGCATTTCAGCACTTTTGTTGCCCCAGTCACAGGATTTTCACTGAAGGCTTGCAGAATGACTTCTAATACTGTCATATGTGTCAAGAGTCACCTTGGAGCTGTTCCTCGAGATATTCCCTCAACAGTGAAAGTAGCTGACTTGTCTGAAAACAAAATCTCAAGAATTCAAGTAGCAGATTTCAAAAATCTACCTCTTCTGACACAGTTAGAGCTAAATCGCAACCACATTTCACAGATAGACAACGGTGCCTTTGCCAATCTGATTTGTCTTGAGAAGTTAAATCTAAACAATAATAAACTTGTCGAACTTGGAGAGGATGTTTTTCATGGTTTGAGCAACCTCACCGAGCTTCGACTCAGCAGTAATCGCATCCAAACTGTGGCATCCAGCTCTTTTAGGTCCATGACAAGCTTAAAGTTTTTGGACATTTCTCATAACAAACTTTACGAAATAGCAAAGGTTCATTCAATATTGCAGCACCTGCCACACCTGCGAGAGCTGTACATTAAAAACAACAATATAAACACTTTTCATTCATGGGAACTGACAAACAGCTCACTAGAACTTGGGTATCTTGATTTGTCTCAGAATCCAATTGCAGTCTTTCAAATCACTGCAGACATTTTTCCACATCTCATCTGGTTCAACATCGGCGGCTCTCGCACAAAGCAGCAGATGATGTGGGATGTGCGTAACAAGACTTTCCTTAATCAAGTTTCTACTCTTGATATTAGTGGGCTGCAAATGGCTTTGGGTGACATGAAAACATTACTAGAGACTGCAAACTCCTCACTTAGGACGCTGAGGATGAATGCAATGAAACACAGCCTCACAGCGCTAATCAACATTTCCTGCACCATCCCAACAATGTCCAACTTACAGCTCCGCTATTACAAGCTCAGATCGGTCAGTTCAACTATGTTTACATTGTGTATTTATGTAACAGAGCTAGATTTAACACAGAATCACATACAAATCATCCACGTCAATGCCTTCAGATCTCTTCCGGGTCTGAGAATCTTAAATCTGAGTCAGAACAAGCTTTCATCTGTTCCAGTTGCAATAAGGAACCTTCCAACTCTTAGAGAGTTGAATCTCAGCGCTAATAACATCAGTAGACTTGGATGTGATGACTTTGCCAATCAAACCATGCTCAGACAGCTTAGCCTTTATAACAACATGATCTCAGCTCTAAATGAGTGTGTTTTCAAGGATCTAATACGATTACAAGTTTTAAAGCTACAAACCAATCACATTAACAAATTAAATGGTGCTTTCCAAAGACATTTACCGAATCTTAGACAACTGTATTTGAATGTAAATCAACTGACTAATATTAAATATGGAGAGTTTAAGGGTTTACACTCCCTCCAAAACCTGTCATTACATGACAACCAAATAGAAACACTTGAAAAAGGGTGTTTTATTGGACTGACGAATCTTACCGATATGTTACTACAGAAGAATCTTATTACACAAAAAGCATTAAATAACGGTAGCTTCAATGATCTGATCAGTTTAAGAAGACTAGATTTTAGAGATAACTATATTAAATTTGAAAACGATTCACTTTTGCCTAATCCACCATTTTCTCAGCTGTCATGTCTGGAGACCTTGGCTATTCCTTCACAACATGGCAAAGGGACATCCAAATTGCCTCGCAACCTCCTGCAAGGCTTGACAAATCTGATAGAGTTCAGTGTCAGGGACATTCAACTTATATTCTTGCACAAAGACATGTTTATTTACACTCCTCAGCTGCAAACACTTGACATTAGCTCAAATGACCTTATGGATCTCTCTTCAGATTTGTTCTCCCCAGTTCAAAACCTTAAAAGTCTCTACATTGAGAGTGAGTGGTGCTCCAGAGAGATCCAGGTGGCCAGGTAATGTGTCAGCTGACTAATCTGAGCTGAGATACATGAGAAATTGTCTCTATACGTATGAAGTGTGCATGTTATACATTAAGCTGTAGTTAATCCTTTATAAACAATATGAATTATATCTACACACTTAGTTTACTCAAAGCTTAAAAATATCTCAGAAACTGTGTTGCAACAGTCTGAACACCGTAGTAATAAAACCGTAGCATCTTCATATAGAAACAACTAAGGTCAAGATCAAAGTGTTTATTTGTCATATCCACAGTTAGGAAACGTGCTTTTCTGTACAATGAAATTCTTACTTGGCCGTCCACATTAATGTCACACAGTACAAGTGAAATATAAAGTAGATGATCAATAACAAATCTAAATAGGCAGTAACACAAGTCTAAGTCACTTTAAAGCAGCAAGTGAAAGAAGCACAAAAAAAAAAATACAACAAGAACACAATATAACGCTGAGGGAATATATGCCATGTGGGAGCCATGGAGTGCAAATACTCAGCAGTGAGTGTGCAATTATGCATGTGCAAAATGAGTATGTAAACAATACAGATCGAATTACATGAGGTAGATCCTACGTCAGCTGTTTAGAAGTCTGATGGCAGTCGGAAAGAAAGTTTTTCAGTCTAGAGGTCCTACATTTCACACTTCTGAGCCTCCGACCGGAGGGTAGGGGTATGAACTGTCCGTGCTGGGAGTGGGTGGGACCCTTGAGGATGGAGGCAGCTTTCCTACGCACCCTGCAGCGGTAAATGCTCTGCAGAGAGGGCAGTGGGGTCCTGGCGATCCTCTCCGCAGTCTTTACCACTCTCTGCAGGTGCTTCCAGTCCATAGCAGTAATGCTCCCATACCAGACAGTGATGCAGCTCGTCATGATGCTCTCGGCGATATAGCTGTAGAAGTTGCAAAGGATCCTAGCCTCCTCAGGAAGTACAGTCAGCGTTGGGCCTTCTTGACCAGCTGTGTGGTGTTATGTGGAAGGAAGGAAAAACTCAAATAACTTCATAACTTTTAAGCACCGTCTTCAATTAAATGAAGTAATACATTCCTAAGACTGATTCCCGGGTTCATTCACGTATTGCGTCTTTATAAAGAGAACTTACAGATCTAGGGGAACTAGTTGATAAGTGCATGTCCATGGCTGACAGACTGTATCAGATCCATCCATTTTCCATACCACTCAGTCCCAAACGGGGTCACGCTCATGATGCTCTCGGCGAAGCAGCTGTAGAAGTTGCAAAGGATCCTAGCCTCCTCAGGAAGTACAGTCAGCGTTGGGTCTTCTTGACCAGCTGTGTGGTGGTATAACATTCATTTTGGGGAAGCACTTGTCCTCAGCTATATTTGTTTCTCTGTTTAGTTTCCGTCTGCTTGATGAGCAGAAAGACGTGCTGATTCTAGTGTTTCTGGAAGAGATCCCAACCGCTCTGTTGTCTCCTTACTACCGCATGAAGAAACTGCTGAAGAGGAAGACCTGCCTGAGTTGGCCTCGAGCCATACAGCACACCAACCTGTTCTGGGAGAAACTTCGCCAGGCTCTGAAGACCACAGAAGATGTTGGCGGGGACAGGTTTCCCATCACTCTGCAGAACAGAGTATACCAAAATAGAAATACAGTCCTCTTAGTATGAGGTTTAGAACCAGTTTAGTTCACTGGTTTGAGTCATTTGGGACTTTTTGTTTGTTTGTTTTACCCAAAAAATTTCCATAGCCTCATGGAAAGAATGTTGGCATTAATTTTTACTGCTGAAAATTAAAGCTTTTTGAACATTTCACTTTTCTGGCCTTTGCTCTGTCTACACACGTTTATCAATTAAAATGAGTTTTCCCTTTTTGAAAGCCTAATGAGTATGTGCGCTGTCCCTGTGACTGGATATCATCAGATAACAACAGATGAACAGATCCTAACTGGACAACAGATAAGGACATATGCATATGGTGGCCCAAGAAGGAAAAAAAGGACTGAGAACCAATTGGTGCCATCAAAAATACTTCAGCTCATGCAGTTCCTGATGATTAAATCATCTCTGTCTGGGAGCCACTATCTACTGTACCAGTCGGGTCTGATAAAAGTGATAGATCTCTTTCATATTTATTTTTTGAACAGTCACTTGTAAAGTGTTAGAACCTGTTTTGAAACCAGGCACAATGTAAACCAATAAAATGGCTCTTTACAAGGGGCTTGTTATGTAACAATCATCCCTGCATTTCCAAAACCTGTTATATTTGTTGGTTCTTACTGACATGGTGCATTGCTGTGAGAAAGTATTTTCCAAGTTACACAGTGGAGCACTGATAACCACTGATGTGCAGAATACAGTATGCCAGTGTAAATATCATATAGCTTAAATGAAGAGTTGGAACAAACTGATGTAGAAAATATGTTATCCAGTCCTAGCCACTCAGAACTGCTGCTCCCAGCCAAACGCCATCCAGCTACCAGTCAATTACCAGCCAGTTTCCAGCCAACCTCCCCACTGCTTCATTAGGCATGACTGGTTTCCATAATAAAAACAGCCATTGAAGTGCCATTCAATCATTTGAATTATGTCATCATTAGACGATGCTTTGCTCGTAAAAACACATTAAATCAGAAACAATGTGTGACTACCTAAAGGACACTGTATTAATACTGCAGAGGCATGTGTCTTTGTTTAGGCCAAGGCTTCTATAATGTGCTTCCCACACTTAAAGTAGTTGCTGGAGCTAAAGACAGTATGTATATCAAATCAATGAATCAAAACTTTATTTTTATAGCATACAGAGCATGAGTGAGTGACACAGAGCCTGAAAGATATTGTCTCAATCCATGAGCATGAGAGTCGAACCACCTTGCCTTAACAATAACACCAGAAATACTGAGTTGTGACTGTCTGCCGCTGCCAGCCTGATAATTCACTGAATGGCAAGAACATGAAGTCACAGTGACCTTAACCTTTGACCACCAAAATCTAATTAGTTCATCCTAGTTTCCAAGTGGACATTTTTTGCCAAATTTTTAGGCTATCCCTCAGAATGTTCCAAAGATATCACACAAATTAAAGGTTAAGAACCTCTGGTATAAAAACATCAATGAGCTACTGTGTTAAAGCCCCACATCAGCACTTCCAAATGGTTTTCTCAGTTTGCACCTACATTACATATAAATAGCAATTTCCTATCTAAAAAAAGCATGATCATTGTATTCACTGACAAATGGACAGACTCCATATGGTCAATCAGTTTGAGCAGTAAAATACATGGACAAAGGTATTGTTTCACAGAAGAAGGAAGTGTTAGTAATGGAGGACGGCCTGTGCTTGGTTTTCACTACAGTAGTCAGAGGAAGTTAGGAAAACCACAATTCTCTATTATATCAAAGAAACAAAAGGAACAGTCCAGTTTATCAATTTCACTAAACTGAAATAACAACAATACATATAACAGTTTACCTCAAGGCTTTGTTTTTGTTTTTTCAGCATCATCGTGTAACAAGAACTGACAAAACTTCAAAGTAGATAATTCATTATAATGAAACTGAAAATGCATGACAAACCTTCCACAAAACAGAACAAGCAAGAAAATCCACCTTGCTGGCTGCTTTTACTTCCTTAACTGACCCATGAAAATACAGGCAATTGGAACAGAACAGGTTATAAGCCTTTCAGCACAGCGAACACTTTTCTCGTGCACACAATAAAAAACACAAGAAAGATTTTTTTTCATCTCATATAAACAAAGGAAGATAATTCAACTACAAGAACCTGTGGATGTGACATCAGTGATCTATCTGCCCTTGTTTGTGAGTTAGTAAGTATTAGAAGTCTTTTTTGTTATATTGTCATATTGATAGGCACCTTGTTACCATTTCAATGTAAAATGTTGGCTGATTTAAAGCCTCAACCACTTGTAGTGAGGTTAAAAACTGTCTCAAATGTTATACTTCTTTTAGGTTTGGAAAATGAATATCCTGTATTTGTCTTTTGGTACTGTTTTTGATGGTTTTTATTTTTCTGTTTTATTGAACTTTCAGGATGACCTTGTGCAGGTTTATTCACCAGTTGGACTTTAGGTCAAGAAATTGCAAACCCTTGTTTTGAATTTTTTTGTTTTGTTTGTTTGTTTTTGCAATAGAAATTAAAACATGGATCCTGGAGCGAAAGAAGACAAAACAATGCAAGTGAGGAAAAGAAAACTTATCATTTTTCTCTACTTGCTGCATTTCAGCACTTTTGTTGCCCCAGTCACAGGATTTTCACTGAAGGCTTGCAGAATGACTTCTAATACTGTCATATGTGCCAAGAGTCAACTCAAAGCTGTTCCTCGAGATATTCCCTCAACAGTGAAAGTAGCTGACTTGTCTGAAAACAAAATCTCAAGAATTCAAGTAGCAGATTTCAAAAATCTACCTCTTCTGACACAGTTAGAGCTAAATCGCAACCACATTTCACAGATAGACAACGGTGCCTTTGCCAATCTGATTTGTCTTGAGAAGTTAAATCTAAACAATAATAAACTTGTCGAACTTGGAGAGGATGTTTTTCATGGTTTGAGCAACCTCACCGAGCTTCGACTCAGCAGTAATCGCATCCAAACTGTGGCATCCAGCTCTTTTAGGTCCATGACAAGCTTAAAGTTTTTGGACATTTCTCATAACAAACTTTACGAAATAGCAAAGGTTCATTCAATATTGCAGCACCTGCCACACCTGCGAGAGCTGTACATTAAAAACAACAATATAAACACTTTTCATTCATGGGAACTGACAAACAGCTCACTAGAACTTGGGTATCTTGATTTGTCTCAGAATCCAATTGCAGTCTTTCAAATCACTGCAGACATTTTTCCACATCTCATCTGGTTCAACATCGGCGGCTCTCGCACAAAGCAGCAGATGATGTGGGATGTGCGTAACAAGACTTTCCTTAATCAAGTTTCTACTCTTGATATTAGTGGGCTGCAAATGGCTTTGGGTGACATGAAAACATTACTAGAGACTGCAAACTCCTCACTTAGGACGCTGAGGATGAATGCAATGAAACACAGCCTCACAGCGCTAATCAACATTTCCTGCACCATCCCAACAATGTCCAACTTACAGCTCCGCTATTACAAGCTCAGATCGGTCAGTTCAACTATGTTTACATTGTGTATTTATGTAACAGAGCTAGATTTAACACAGAATCACATACAAATCATCCACGTCAATGCCTTCAGATCTCTTCCGGGTCTGAGAATCTTAAATCTGAGTCAGAACAAGCTTTCATCTGTTCCAGTTGCAATAAGGAACCTTCCAACTCTTAGAGAGTTGAATCTCAGCGCTAATAACATCAGTAGACTTGGATGTGATGACTTTGCCAATCAAACCATGCTCAGACAGCTTAGCCTTTATAACAACATGATCTCAGCTCTAAATGAGTGTGTTTTCAAGGATCTAATACGATTACAAGTTTTAAAGCTACAAACCAATCACATTAACAAATTAAATGGTGCTTTCCAAAGACATTTACCGAATCTTAGACAACTGTATTTGAATGTAAATCAACTGACTAATATTAAATATGGAGAGTTTAAGGGTTTACACTCCCTCCAAAACCTGTCATTACATGACAACCAAATAGAAACACTTGAAAAAGGGTGTTTTATTGGACTGACGAATCTTACCGATATGTTACTACAGAAGAATCGTATTACAGAAAAAGCATTAAACAAAGGTACCTTCAATGATCTGATCAATTTAAGAAGACTAGATTTAAGGGAAAATCGCATTCAATATGGAAACAGTTCAGCTTTGCCTAATCCACCATTTTCTCAGCTATCATGTCTGGAGACTTTGGCTATTCCTTCACAACATCGCAGAATGAAGTCTCACTTGCCTCGCAACCTCCTGCAAGGCTTGACAAATCTGATAGAGTTCAGTGCCAGGGACATTCAACTTATATTCTTGCACAAAGACATGTTGATTTACACTCCTCAGCTGCAAACACTTGACATTAGCTCAAATGACCTTGTGGATCTCTCTTCAGATTTGTTCTCCCCAGTTCGAGACTGCAAACTCCTCACTTAGGACGCTGAGGATGAATGCAATGAAACACAGCCTCACAGCGCTAATCAACATTTCCTGCACCATCCCAACAATGTCCAACTTACAGCTCCGCTATTACAAGCTCAGATCGGTCAGTTCAACTATGTTTACATTGTGTATTTATGTAACAGAGCTAGATTTAACACAGAATCGCATACAAATCATCCACATCAATGCCTTCAGATCTCTTCCGGGTCTGAGAATCTTAAGTCTGAGTCAGAACAAGCTTTCATCTGTTCCAGTTGCAATAAGGAACCTTCCAACTCTTAGAGAGTTGAATCTCAGTGCTAATAACATCAGTAGACTTGGATGTGATGACTTTGCCAATCAAACCATGCTCAGACAGCTTAGCCTTTATAACAACATGATCTCAGCTCTAAATGAGTGTGTTTTCAAGGATTTAATACGATTACAAGTTTTAAAGCTACAAACCAATCACATTTACAAATTAAATGGTGCTTTCCAAAGACATTTACCGAATGTTAGACAACTGTATTTGAATGCAAATAAACTGACTAATATTAAATACGGAGAGTTTAAGGGTTTACACTCCCTCCAAAACCTGTCATTACATGACAACCAAATAAAAACACTTGAAAAGGGGTGTTTTATTGGACTGACGAATCTTACCGATATGTTACTACAGAAGAATCTTATTACACAAAAAGCATTAAATAACGGTAGCTTCAATGATCTGATCAGTTTAAGAAGACTAGATTTTAGAGATAACTATATTAAATTTGAAAACGATTCACTTTTGCCTAATCCACCATTTTCTCAGCTGTCATGTCTGGAGACCTTGGCTATTCCTTCACAACATGGCAAAGGGACATCCAAATTGCCTCGCAACCTCCTGCAAGGCTTGACAAATCTGATAGAGTTCAGTGCCAGGGACATTCAACTTATATTCTTGCACAAAGACATGTTGATTTACACTCCTCAGCTGCAAACACTTGACATTAGCTCAAATGACCGCATGAATCACAGTCTAGATTTGTTCTCTCAAGTTCGAAACCTTAAAAGTCTCTACATATCTAGAACAAGTCTTCAGTCTCTAGACTTTCTTATAGGTGCCAACCTTACCAAGCTGGAGTTTTTACAGGCAAGAAGAAATCAATACTCAGTTATCAGTGAAGAAATAATAAAGTCTGTACCAGCTCTTGTTTATATGGATCTTCAAGGCAACAGTTTTACCTGTGACTGTAATAATGCCTGGTTCCTCAAATGGGCAGAAGACAACAACCAAACCCAAGTTTTTGATGCCTTCAACTTTGTTTGCAACTTTCCTCTGGACCTCAAAGGTATGAAACTGTTGGACCTTGACATCCGGTCTTGCTCAGTAGACACTGATTTCATCTGCTTTATCTCCACCACATCTATGACTCTCTTTTTTATGGTGGTGTCCTTCACCTACCATTTCCTGAGGTGGCAGTTGGCCTACGCCTACTATCTCTTCTTAGCTTTGCTCGTTGACACAAAGCATAAAAACAAGCAGGCTCCTCATCAGTATGATGCCTTCATCTCCTACAATATCCATGATGAACCATGGGTCATCGGAGAGCTGGTACCGAAACTGGAGGAAGAGCAGGGCTGGAGACTGTGTCTGCACCATCGAGACTTCGAACCAGGTAGGACTGCCCTTTACACCTACCAGTATATTAATCTATCTACAATTAAACAAATGCTTTTTATTCTTTGGATTCAGTGGCGGTTGTTTTTAGATTTTTTTTTACTACTAGTAAGAGTTATATCTGCATATCATTGTGGAGTTTTAGTGCAATGGGAATAAAAAATGTGGCCTTTTCTCCCATACTTTTCATATGCATGTTTTTTTAGGACATAAAAAGCCATCAGGTTTCAATGTGTACGCTATACAAAAGCAAAGCTACAATCTGGAAATAAACATACTTAGGTACATAATCCATTATAGTTGTTTTTCTCATTCTGTACTTTCATCTGTTCTCCAGCGGGTGTCACCACAGTACTGGTGGTGCTGCACTATCAGAGGAACTAATGAAGAGTATAACAATGACTCTATTACTGACTCTTTCACATTTTCCTTTTCTCTACCTCAGGTAAACCCATCATAGACAACATTACAGATGCCATCTATGGAAGCAGGAAGACCATCTGTGTGATCAGTCGCAGATACCTTGAGAGTGAGTGGTGCTCCAGAGAGATCCAGGTGGCCAGGTAATGTGTCAGCTGACTAATCTGAGCTGAGACACATGAGAAATTTATGCCTCACTGGGTGGTACATTAAGTTGAGGTTTATTTCACCTTGATAGGCACTTTTACTGTTTTATGACATTATGTATAGACAAAACAAGCTGCCAATCCGAGAAAAATAAAAGGCAAATCAGTATTAAAAATCTTCAAATCCAATTTACATGTTTTCATGTTGTGTTGCGTCTCTCTTAATTCCTATTCATTCTTATGTAAATATCTCTTAATTCTTATGTAAACTCTGCATTGCCTTGCCATTGAGAGGTGCTATACAAATAAACCTGTCTTGCCTCTGCCTCATCTATCTTTGCTTCTCTGACTAGCTTCCGTCTGTTCGATGAGCAGAAAGACGTGCTGATTCTGGTGTTTCTGGACGAGATCCCAACTGCTCTGTTGTCTCCTTACTACCGCATGAGGAGACTGCTGAAGAGGAAGACCTACCTGAGTTGGCCTCAAGCCGGAGAGAACACTAAGGTGTTCTGGGAGAAACTTTGCCAGGCTCTGAAGACCAGAGAAGATGTTGGTGGGGACAGGCTCCTCCTCACTGTTGGGGACAGACCATCATAGACATGAAACACAGTCCTCTTTCTGTGTCAGTTACAGTCAGTATAGTTTATTTTTAACTTTTTTTTATCATAAATGTGCTTTAAGTACATTTGCCATCATGTTTTATTACCAAATACCCAACATTTCTGAACACCTGTGATTCACTAGGATTCACTAGTCCTGCCCTCTGTCTGAATGGATTTATTAGATCAGTGTAATAATCAGCTGACAAGGAAAATCAACGGCAACAAGTTGAACATTTTCCATTACAGCCAAACTGGAAGATCAAGCCAGGACTAAGTATGAGTGACATAAGTTTTTCCATTGTGGGAGCCTAACGAATAACTTCTGCTTTTGACTGACTGTATAGGAGATGGACAGACTGACTGCTCCCACAAGTGAAACCACTGCAAATCGATCGCCCCCTGGTGCCTGGTTGCAGTATGGGTCATAAATCCCACCGCCTCCACGGTAGTGGACGGGGTTGTGAGCCAAAATAAAAACTCAAAGTACAAATGAAATACATTTTTCCCAGAGGTTATTTCTGTCATTTTTAGTAGATTGTATCATGTAGACATTATCACATGATCATTTTTCTGTTAAGTTTGTTTTTAATGTGTCTGTGGCTAGATATGTACATTTCTAACAAAATCTTGTCTTGTTGTTCTGCAAAGATGAAATTAAATGCTTAAGTATTCAATACAAGGCAAGGTAGCTTTATTTATATGGCACATTTCAAACACAGGGACATTTCACAGTGTTTTACAGAGGCAAACATTAACATTTAAATATATAAGCATAAAAAATCTGAATAAAATCAGTTAACACAAAGTTAAAATATTGTTAAAATAAAATCACATGTAAGTTGCCCTGACAGGCAACAAAAGTGCAGGAAAGAAACTTGTCAACCAAACACACAGAAAAACCACCCAATTTTAAAGTTTACAACTGAAGAGACTGCGCTTATAGTATTAAATGACCTGTGGGGACATTGTGAATATAGTAATAGAAATTCATTAGAGACAGATAATGTCAGTTACAATCAAAATGTTTCTGCCTGGCCACAAAATGTCAGAAATGGCAAACATCACCAAAAAATTTGAAATTGCAAAAGAGAATGAAAAGCAATGAGTTTCCTCTCTCTATATATATATATATATTAACAATACTACATACCCCTGTTTATAAAACAGAATACAATTACAGAATGTAACAAAATTTATATCATCGTCTCTGATATATAATAATTTAAATAGTGTCAAAAGTGTAGAATGTGAGTCATTACAATAACAATACATTTTTCCCTGTATCAAACTGGGTTCGGAGGCACTAGACTGAATAAAATGTTACATGTTCGTGCAGACATGAACTGATGTGATGGCATTATGCTGTTGTGGTGATGATGGGAGTTTTTTCCTTTATGATTTGAGCATCCTTCTTCCTCTGTTCACTACAAAGAAACATGAAAACAAAACATGGATTTGGTTTGGTAAGCTGCTAAGTGTCCCAAATGAACGACATGTACAGAAAACCTACATTAAACACACTATGGGGCCATGTTTATACTCACTCTACACACTTCATCCCTCTCTGGGTCCAGCGCATTGAAGGGTCAGCACACACAAACCTTTCTGGAAGGTGAAAGCTGTGGGATCCATGAAACAGAGAAAACGATCACACCCCAGTCACATGAATGCACTGAATTACTTTGAAAATACAGTTTCCCTCCCTGTGGTCTAATCCCAGGTTGTGTATTAACCTCGGTGTCTCTCTAACACTGATTTGCAGCAGTGTGACATCAGAAATTCCTGCAGCACTTCCCGACTTATTTTGTCACACTTTAACTACCAGTGAAAAGCGCAAGCTAACCCACTGAGTCCCTTGTCTGATATGTGACCTGTGAGGATCAAGTTTTCTTTGTTTTCACTTCAGTCGAAGCATGTCTTTTGATTTAACTGAAGACCCGTCCCTACTGAGCAACCGCATATCAGATATGAGTAACAGGATACAAGATAACATTCTGCTGGATGGCACCCTGTTGAACTAACTCCACTACATTTATTTAATAACTTTAGTTACTTGTCAGAATAAGATCAATAAAATAAAATACAATATAATCATTACAGTATACTGACCCGTGGTCAGAAATTCACAAGCTATCCAAGCTCCATCTTTACCAGCTGCAACATGACACATTAAACTGCAACTATTTTTATTACTATTTGGCTGTTAAATGATTTGATGGCTCCACATTCTCAATGTGAAAATTCTCTACTTTCCCAAAAAAAATTATTTGGGGAAAAAAATATTTAGTAAGAAATAAGATACTGACAAACATCATCTTCTGCTCTAGGATAACGCAATAGGCATTTTTCAGTTTGAGTGAAACAAATCAAAACTATTCTATCAATTCATTAAATTAATACTCTTTTACGGTGTTTTATTTAATACACAAGTTGTCTAAATAGTTTCTAAAGTATAACTGCAATATTTGTGATACATATCAGCCAAATAACCTCATGCTACTAGTTTTTGTTCCCTGTGCAGCTGTTGCTAGTTCCCTTTGTGACTCACTGAAGTGTTGTTTTTACTTCTCTGTCACCATCCTGACACTAAAACATTAACTCACATAACGGCGTTGATGTCACAGAAAGTGTTGATTGTCTGGATGCTGTATCCCAGCAGCTGTTTGCATGGCAACGGACGCCTGGCGTATCTCAGGCAGCAGCTCGCTAAAGACACACACACACAAATAATTTGTAGACAAAATAAAATACGAACAATGTTTTCATTTACAGGTGCATTATAAAATACTGATAGTGGAAACACAGCATTGCTTAGCATTATTACAATGTGGAAGCACACAATACATGCATTAAATGTTCTTAAATGAGTTTTTTACAGCTTTCAGTTCAGCACTACAGCAACATAACCCTGAAAATAATATAGGACTGCCCCCTTAAATGCATCAAAATCTTTACAGGGATAACAGAAATTTATCAGTACTCTAGAAATCCAGGATATTGTACATGTTAACCAGTAGTGACTGAAGAACTCACCTGACTCTGTGCCACTGATAAAGGCTGTGAGGATGACAAGGGAGCACAGAGCTGCCAGAAAACACATTTTGCAGCTTGCCATGTTTCCACCGTTAGTGTTCTGAGTCAGCGTGAGGCTGTAGTAGCTTGAGTGATGTAAAGTGGTTGAAAGCATTCAGGGAGAGTGTGACAGGGACAGCATTAGCTCACTGCTTAAGTAGGACATCTGTGGGACTTTCCCCCATTCGGCAGGATTGCATAATAGCGTGGGAGATCATTAGATCAGCAAGCATGCCAGGAAACAGAACAAGGCATACCTGACACGCTCCAGCCTCTAGCTGGGAGGAAACATCAGGAAATTACCTGTATTTTGTACAGCACCATATTTTACCCCACCTCCCCTCCCCAAGGGGGGGGGGGGGGGCTTTACAAAGAGTTTAACCCGATAGTTGTACAGCTATAACTTCCCTGAAAAAAAGCCATAGATGGAATGTCACCTTGTTTCCTAAAGCTCAGTTGGTGCAGATTTAATAAATATCAAACATGATTTTGGTACTGTCTGCCACAAAGCATGATGACTTGATCAGAGGATGATATGACAAAGTTTGATCATTCTCGCAAAATCAAAAGCTGAAATCCAGTTATAGTCAGACATTTTGGACACTTATTTATTATTAGGCCATTTCACTGAAAGTCCTTGATCTAAGCTACATGAAAAAATAACTATACAGTGCATTCCACAAGTTATTCTTCAACCTGCCACTGGGGACACGACTGCACTACTACTGTTATGTTACCACATGAGCCATATTAAGCTAATCTGTTGATTACTGGCCAACCATCACAACAAAACTGCTTTAACAGAATGTAAGACTGGACTTGGATTTAACCTTGCATCACTTTTAGCCCCTTAGTTGCTTGCTTTGGCTTTGGCTTGTAGATTTAATGCACGGTTCAGTCTGTAAATCAGCAAAAATTCTAAGATAAAAAAATCTAAATCATCAAAAATCAAAATTGCTAAATCAAAAATTCTAAGATAAAGATAAAAAAAAAATCCACCAAACAGCTGGTGAGTATTAAAATGTAGCTGTCTGAGGAGCTGGTGGAGACTACAACAGAGCTTAAAAGAGAGCAGATACTGAATCTCTGGCTCCAAATAAATGCTAATCCTGCTCCATGACAGCAGGATGTGGAA